TGTAAAGTAGATAAATATTTACGTTACTAAGTAAGAATTCTGGATGGAAAATGTTAAAATACACGGAGAATGAATGAAGATTGTTCGGGAAAAGGGATTTGTTTTAGCATTTTCTAAATTTTCCGCGTGATCACCAACTATATGAGATGTCATTGACAAGATAGAGTGTGGCTAACAGTTAAGTTTACAGCTCGCGTTTCGCGCTGTTTATGAATCGTCAGCAAGTTGTACGTCCGTCCCAGAGTTGATGCTCACTTCGGGACTCGGACCCAGTACCGTTTGCTTTAAAACGCCACCACTAAGCTACTGATAGCTATTCACTTGTGCAAAGTGTATAAGATTGAATTTAATTTGAAATGGTTTGAACTATATTGTCGCTGATATTTTTGACGGAAATTCAATCAGAATATCCATATACCAACCAAGATTGACCAAATTTTCGTCAAAAATATCGACGGCGGGATAATTCAAACCATTTCAAACGGAATTAATAATGAGATGTTTTACAAATTAAGCATCGTGTTAAAAAAACAAAGTATATTATTTCGCCAGTAAAATTAATCAATTACTCACTCCACAATCATGCACGTGTTTATTTCTGTCAGTAAAATGAATTTGTTTCCCACGATGGTACATTCTTAAAACACCTTGTTTACACAACTAATGTGTATGCGGAGGCTTTAAAAACAACGCAAAATAAGTCCACTTTATCCAACAAAGTTTGGTGTTATTTTATTACAAGCTATTCAAGAGTCCATATTTTAGTGGTGTAAATATCGATACAAGTACATGCTTTGATGACTACTTGTTGTTAATATGCTCTGTTATTTAATTTGCAGGGATTTACGCCACTGTTATGGGCTTGTGCTAATGGACAGAAAGCTGCAGTGGAGTTACTCGTTTTCTATGGTGCAAATATCATTCTATCTGGAGATAACGGAGAGACAGGACTGCTCTTAGCTGCTAGCCGCGGTCACTTTGATGTGGTTCTTTACTTGCTCAAAGCTGGATGCCCAGTAGATCTGTCTGACGAGCTGTGCAATACTGCATTAATGTTCGCAGCCTATAACAATAACGCCGCAATTGTGTCTTTGTTACTCGATTGGGGTGCTGATATTACTTCTATAAATGCAGACGGGTGGACAGCACTAGATTTTGCTATACGACGAGGCTCACGTGCCAGCCAACGTATAATTGAGAAGCATATTTTATCCCTGTTGCAAACTCAATAGTTTTTCAGACCAAAGCAGTCGGAAAAGTTTTTCCATGTTCGGAGGTACTCACGTGGTTTCGTATTTGTCATTATTAAGGCTCGATAACTTCCGGACATTTTCACATGCACTGTGAAATCGTTTCAGAATGTATGTATAGATAAATATAAACTACTATCTTTTGTCAGTCCGCGTAGTATTGACTTGTTTGATGTTTTTCTAACTGTGCAGTAAACATGTCAGATCACTGGAATGGTTCGTACCGCGTAATCATCTGGGCGAAACCGTCATTTACGAGCGCGTGTTGAATGTGAATGTTATCGCCTGATTTACTCTTGTCTTGGAACTAGTCCATCTAGTTGGACAACTGTGGTCGTTTTTGTAGGGGAGCAAATGATCGTTCATGAGACCGATGGTTGGGAACCATATTCGTTCGATGCAGTAGGTATAACGGCTTGATGTTGAGCAAATCGAATAGTCCAACAGTACAGCTCAATCATATCTGTTCTATCAAACGTTTCTACATCTTCAATATCAATACACTGATGAGGTGTGAGTATAAGGCTTGCTCGCATCTATCAATAAACACAACTTGACTAGGAGTTTGATTCTTAACTATCATCATCTTGCGTGAAATAATTGAAAAGGCGATGAGTTACAGGAACACCGTCTTCGTAGTGGTAAAGTTTATTAGGTTTGTGAGACGGTTATGGAAGTAAAACCGACTCGAAAATTATTGGTATAATTGCGACTATCGGACTAATAGAATGGTGGCAAAACTGACCCTCTAGTCCGAACCAAAAGTATTTCAGAAAACCTGGGATATATTCGGCTGGGACGATCCTATGGGAAATTCGGTCGCTTTAATCACCTCCATATTTTATTGAATCGATCATATGCTCACTAGTGACTGGCTCCTTGAGGTAATTCCTCGAGTTCTAGTGAGAAGTCGTGGCCAGTGGAGCTAATCCATGTCAGGTAGAGACAGGTATCTACCTCAGTACATTGGAAGTTGGTTGCGCAATTTCGTGGATTGGTTGAGGTTTGACATTAACACCGTTGGATGCCAGTTCAGTGGTCTATCGGTTAAGGGCTCTGGCTGGAGACTGGTAGGTCCTGGGTTCGAATCTCGCGAGAGCGGGTTCGTGGATGCGCACTGGTGAGGAGTCCCATAATAGGACGAAACGGCCGTCCAGTGCTTCCACGGTGGTCTAGCTTCAATTGACTCATGATCTTAACTATGAATCGATTCTGTTGTCATAAAATTTCCTACATCAAACCAAGCAGCCTGTTGAGACACATGTAGTGCTAAAAATTGTTTATCGATTGGGTACTAACTATGCATCACATAAGCATTTAGAGATGTTTCAAATAAGTCATTCTAATCGTTGAGTTACAACGGCGTGTAAATTAAAGACCAGCTTTGTCTGTTGGACTTTAGATAAGGAAATTTTTGCATGTTAGATAGTGTTTCGTTCACAATATCATAGGCACTACCCAATTTAATCTGTGAAACCAAAGCTTAAGTTGACTGAGAATACATGGTAGATAATCTCATCTGCCTTGTTTTTAATGTAGATATTCACTCTTGGATAAAAATAAACTAGTTAGAAGTACATATAAAATATCACACTGTTTCTTACGTTACATAATCTTTCCAAGAAACGAGACCATCCCGGTGAAATTCAATAGGAAACAACTCAGCTGGGTCACTTTCATCACCCAAATGTTTCATGAAACTATCTGTGCGCTATAATAAATAAAACCAGTTATGCAAATACAGCTGGTTGTGATATACTGAGGCACTAGGTGACAAATTTAACATGCAACAAACTAGTCAGTCAGCAGCTTGTATAGTAACATTACTTTGGTCCCAATTATGATGCTTAGTCGACCACGGAACAGGCTATAGTCGGACTCAATTTGTTGACGTGTGATTTGCTGAAAAAAGTGTAACAGTCGGACCAGCTAATGATCGCTTAAAGTAATATAAATCAACCGTAGTTAAAAAAGTGGGTGTGCTAACACAATTTATTCGTCCTGATAATAATTATCCAAGGCTCCATTAAAGAATACAACTCTTGTCTTCCTGAATAAAAGTTAACAGATGAAGAAATCATCTGAAAATATAGAGCAGGCAATGAGATGGGTTCTATCAAGACCAAGTGATACGTTAGCCTAATACATTTCGAACAATCTAACTTTCTAAGATATATGATAAAAGTCAAACCGAAGCATATGAAAAATTGGTGATAAGAAGAAACTATGAATCACAATCAAGCAAAATTATTTCCACCTTTATGACTAGTCAATAGATGACTGTTGACTTCAAATTCTTTATTGCTTTTTAAACTAGCTAAATATATTGAACTGTGACATCTATGTTATTGTCAGTATCAATAGGCGTCTAACGTTGATCGAATTATGATCTCGATTGAGACTAATGTTATTGCCTATCATGGGTCGGGACTCCACGAATCCGAAGGTAATTCGTGTTTTTTCACACGCAATACATATTAATGAAGACTGTTTTATGACAATGAGAGATCAGATTAGTCTTTCTAAAGTATTTTGCACGACAACAAGCGATGTGATCGATCACATAAGCACAACATAATGCTTAGGACCTACGTAGGTGAGGAACACCCAATACAGAAAGATCCTTTTACTAGGTTTAACAACACAATCCCAAATTGCTGCTAACAATGTAGAGGCGATGACTAATGAATATTATTTATACCACAAACTATGTCTGCATTTCTGGTACTTATTCCTTTGCTTCTAAAATTTAAATCAAAATTGCAACGTGATAAGCCAAGTTATGTGGAGTATTATCTTCAATATCACTAAAATATAGTCAACATTTACAGAATCTTGACATGCCACCCTTTAAACAAAGTTGAATCATACGTTAACAAGCTTTAAGGAATCACATCACTGAACAACCTTATGTTCGTTTTTTATAAATGCGCCGCTTTTCCACTAAGTAGTTGTAGGTATACTCAATATATTTTCTCAACAACTAAACATATAAACTTGACCTCAACTAAAGATAGCTTATAGTCTGAGAGTGATATCATTCTAATTATTATGTATAAACCAGAATGTGGTACCAAAATATTTCTAATTTATAGCACATTATAGCTGTGTCCATAAATACCAGCGAAGCATAATTAAATACTAACGTGGGTAAGTTCTCGTAGTATAAATAAGCGATTTGTTCCACAGAAGTGGTGATGCACTCGCTGAGATAGTTGTAGTTGTTTTTACTTACCATACATAACTCCCTTTCTTTTTATTTGAAAGATGAGGGTGTACTACAATTCAACCATAAGTGGAGTAGTTCATTTAACAAGTATAGGTTTTTATACCCAACTTTGATCCAGATTTTGTGTGATGGCTAGTGATATTACATACTTTTTCAAACAAACGTAAATGGAGCGGTACTCAAACTTACTACAGAGAGGATAAAAGTCGAATGTCCTGACTACTACTCTATTGATACTGCCAAGCTCATAGATCTAGGGTTGTGTAAAAACATCTAGAATTTTTTAATGTCGGTCGATTTTCTTGTATTGGTGCCGAAAATTATACAATAAACGATAAGATGTACATGTTCTTGAGTTCTCCGTATGTAGAAATATTTGTGTCAAGAATCAGATTCATTTTAAACAAAAAGATCGCACAACACAGCTAGAGGTTTGTCAGTGTCTTTATTACGCTAATCTACGTTTTTTTCTCAAAGCAGATCTATACCTGATCGATCACATTATCACTAAAGCTTCTCTGGGATTCGATAATTTCACCTCGTCATAATGGTGGGGCGTGACAGTTTAGCTGATGTACACATGTGCTGAAACCTACATTGCGTACAACTGACTGTTACTATTGAAAAAATCCAAAACATTATTCTGATTGTTTTAAATTTATAAAAAGTAGCAACGATGCGATTAGATAATCTCGAAAGTTTAAGGCAGTCTTAACGAACATTTACAGAATGAAACAGACCATGCAATAAAAATAATAAGCCAAAGTAAATAATCAAGTGAAGAAACTTTACACAACCTTATCAGGTACTCAGGGATGTGGGAAAAAGATAAGATAGAAAACTATTTGTTAGTACGGTGAGATCACTCCCGACCATTCCAATTGAAGCCTCCAGGTCTTCCCACTTCTGGAAGAGGTTCATAGTCACGATTAATTTGTCGTCTATTGAACAAATATTTCCTAATATTAGGAAAATACGTCAGTACTAATTATTCATGCTTACATAAATTCAGGTGTACGGAGTATTCGGAATCCATTCACTTGGTTAGGATATACGTCTTCGAGGAAATAATAAAGATGACCAACAAATATACCTAAAGAGTTAAGGATGAAGACCTCCTTACCAATTAGATCAACCACCATATTATTCCCAAGAAGAAAAGAAAACGCAAAGAACACCCAGGGAAGGTACGGAGCATTTACTTCTATAACCCCAAATATGTTTAGCCTCACTAATGGATTTCTTCTACTCCAGACGTAGACTAGCATCATTGTCAAGACATGACTGAGAAACAACATGTTAACAAACAAGGCGATTATCTGAAAAATAACTTAATGAAAGACATCCTACTATCGTGAGGGTTCCACAAAACAGAAACATCATGACGAAGTCGGCAGTTTTCGTACTGTACCAGGTTTCTTCCAACATACGACAGTATCGATAAGCGAACAGAATATTAAAAAGAAAGCTGAAATTAAACGATCCGAAGAAGCAAAACGATGTAACCAGCCTCCATAACTAGTAAAGGGCTACTAAGAATACGCGAGAATACAAACCTGAAAGTTGTTCGCTATTAACGACGGATTGAAGTATAATTGAAAAGGCGAAATAAGGTTGAGTTGCTAAATTGTAAAAATAACGACATAAGTAGCTACTTACAACTGCAACTGTTAGTAGAAAACACGTTGATATGTATGCAGACGTGACAGGAGGAGTATTTGAAATCTCTTGAGATATTATATCCATACGAATTCAGTAATGACGAGCCACACCGATTAATAATCCCGCCTTATATTATTTGATTACACTCCTTATCTCAACACTTGTAACTCCAGTTTTTCATTAAGAAGATTAATGAAAATAATTTCAAGGACTGAGTTATTTTTGTTTTTATAAGTGCGGGAGTTTTATTTTAAGGGCGGCCGCTTTTTAATGACGAAGGACTTGATAAGCGCTCTTCGGGCTGTAAGTGTGTAATATAGACGTGTATTTCCCTCAGGCGCAACCTGAAGATGCAAGTGACCTGCCCGACACTTCCTTGCCCCTTGATGGGTCTCAGTACATGAATGATTTTTTCTCCCAAGTTGAGGAAATACGAAACTTGATTGAACGGGTTCAGTCCCTTGTTGATAATGTAAAAAATAAACACAGTGATATATTGTCTTCGCCTAATCAAGACGAAGGTAGTTTCCAATTTTTTAATAGTTTTTGTGTTCCAGCTACAAAGGCTCAACTTGAAGATGCTATGGCCGAAATCAAGACAATCGCACACAAGGTGCGTGCAAAACTAAAGCGTAAGTAATTTTACCGTCTAAGATTTGCAGAGATGGAAATGAACATTGAGTATGATGAAAACTCTGACAGGACATCGGCGGATTTACGGATAAGAAAAACTCAGGTACAACTGTCCTATGGCTTCTAATCGCTTATAGTATTCCACAATTTCTCGGAACTTCATTGAAGTTATGACCGACTACAACAAAGCTCAAGTTGCTTTCCGAGACGCCTGCAAAAACCGAATAAAGCGACAAATGGAAATCGGTTAGTTTTGTATATTATCATTATGTCCATTTCCATTGCGATACATACATGCATCTCTATTTATTTTTAGAGCACTACAATTTTGTGTGTACAGACTTTAGTTCATTACAATAGCTTACTTCTATAATTGTCTCAAACGGTTAAAAGCACCAACATTTATATGCTTCGACCAAATGGGTGCAAATATTGGGAAATTAACTGTACAACTAAACTGTTGGTTTAAAATGTCTTCTGAACTAGTTTAGTCACATAATTTCAGACAGACCATAATTAAGGTCTCTTATTTAAATGCGTAGAGAGAGGTTAATATCAAACCTGGAAATTCTCATATCTTGTAGCTGCATTTTCTGTCAATAGCACTTATTATACTCAGTGCTTCATTCTTTGTTTAATAATATCCCATTTCTGTTTTTGCTTTATTTTCGAAATACTCAACAAGCTGATGTGGCACCTTGATAATGTCTCCTCATTTTCAAACTTTTCGTATTTTCATGTGAAGCATGTCCTGGCAGTTCCATCCTATAACTGATCCTAGTATTCTTTATTCCTCCATACATTCTCTTCGTAATTAACATGCTATGTAGATTCTCAAGTCTATTTAGTCATTCTGTTGTTACACATTAGTAGTTAATACAAATCCGGGCTTAATTTTTTCACTCACTTGAGATTGCTCAACTACATCCCTTGATTTATTTGGTCGAAACTTCGTACCAAAAATGACATTTCTTTACATTTGTGTGATTAGTAAATGAGAAAACTACAGTCTTAGGTTTGTCAGTAGTCCCATTATATTTATCAATTGTCTTTGTAAACTTTAAACAACTCATTATTCTATGCATTGGTTTTTTCACTTAATCTGTTTTCTGGTTACGTGCTAGGGTTGACTTGACTATCTCTAGTTCCACATTCAACGAAATAGTTTAGGTCATTAGGTGTGTATTTAACCCTTACGTCATACATATCTGACCGTTCTAGTATTTATTTCTTTTTCACTGTCACATTTTATTTTTTATTTGAATACAAATATTGGTACAGGGGGCACCAGATATATATGCGCCACACTTTGTTTGAGGGATGTGGTACTACCCGGGTGCCCAAACAGAAGCAAATGGTTTTCTTAAGTTACAGTCAAAGCCTTTGACCCAAAGGTCTGACTAACAAGGCAGTGGAGCAACGTCGGATGATGCAGTCCCATGGTAGCCAGTGACCAATAATTGGTTCATGCACCATTGGTTTGAAATGAAGATTTCTTAACTACCCTAGATGGACCCTCCGTGTCAACGAACCCGCTTTTCGTAAACAACACCCCCGGCACGAGAAGGCAGTGAGTAGGACTTTCCTTACAGAGGCTGTATACGCGTTGCCATGTGAGAGCGTTTCGAGGAGGGTGACCTCATCCCGCTCTCGGCCGTACCAGGGCATTTGGGGGCTTTTCACTTTCACGCTGACAATCGTTTTGTAGCCACTGTCGATATAAGCTTAGCGTTTGACTTAGTTTCAACCAGCCTCACATGATTTTTTGTCTCATGTATACGAAGGTTTCTCAAGATCTATGCTGTCATCTAACACTTGTTTCGTCAACCATATTCCGTTCATTTGGGACCAAGTCATACCAACGTCCAATTGTCGTAACTTATTTGAAACTTTAGATCCTATACTTTCTTCACAGTTGATTCATGCACCCGAACAGCTCATTAAAAGATGTACTTCCTCATCTTTATTCATTTGACTATCTCCTTAGTTCTTATTTCAACTATGCATGAGATATTATCATCGGCAACTTTCTGATCCCCTTTTGAGTAGATCCTCGTGCATTGAAATTTCTTTAAGTATATACACTGCCTTTGCGTTTTGAGAAAGCTATCGAAAGTTTATGAGTTAGAAACGTACCTTTTGTCCCTAAATTGAAGCGGAGGATTAGTGGTTGAATCATTTGACTACTAACTTTTAGTTATGTGTTGGAACCTTGCTCTTCCTAGTTCATTTCAGGTAACTGATATAGTATCATTATACAACAAAAGTATGTTCGAGAAGAACAGAAACTGTACTTGGTTATTGAGTCACATTGAGATGGTTTTATATGAATGGTCCTTACTTACTTACTTACGCCTGTTACCCCTCGTGGAGGAGCATAGGCCGCTCACCAGCGTTTTTTAGCGAGTTAGTTTTTCTACGGGATGGGGTCGCTAACCCCATGCCCAACCCTCCTCCTTTACCCGGGCTTGGGACCGGCAGTAACTCTTGAAGAGCTACAGGCGGGGTTCCTTATTGACTCCAAATTACAAACAAAACGATTAGTATATCCATCTTCATGATCATCAGTTACAATAAAAGCTCACCTCACTTTTGTCGACTATCTTGTACATTAAACCTGTTGGTAGAAATTCAACTTAGTATTGTTTGTTTGAATCTTCCCATCGATTTGTTAGGACTGCAACTGGTCAGTCTCTAATTGGCATATGTGCATACTGTGCGTATTGCCTCGATATACCTTAATTCACAAGCATGGTTAGCAGAGATGGATAGTGGCTATTTTAGCTGAGAGAAAAATTTCTAATGAAGTGGCTGTTGGTAGAAGTTTTTGGGTCGCTACCTGAATCAGCATACTTCTACAGTCCGGTCACAACCTTTAGAACTAATTATAGTGTTCTAGAACAGAGACAATTATATGCAACGTCTTTTGTCGTTACAGTCATTTAAAAACCTATGTTTTTATGTGGTTTATGATAAATTAAGAAATACAGGGACTTCTTGTTCAAACTCAGGAGGGAACTACTGTTGTGTATTGAATCTCAGTGAAGTAGTGCAAATTTGTTTTCAATGTGCCGTTGCGAACATATATATAAACAGACTAAATCAAGCCATTTTTTGTTTTACACGTATTTTGTACTTTAGTTTTTTTAACGGGGAGTAACTTTTTATTTTAGCTGAGAGAAAAATTTCTAATGAAGAATTGGAGGATATGCTAGAATCTGGGAATCCTGCCATTTTTACACAAGAAGTTAGTGTGTTCTAATTTATTGTATAACCAAACTTTATTATTCTAACCCACTTTATAGAAATGATATATATACTAATATTACCAGCCCGTTTAATTGTCAAACATTACACAGATTACACTGTATTTCACAAATGTCTTAATCTTAGCAACCCATTTTTAATAATCGACAGTCGTTTTAGTAATTTTTAGGCTTTCCACTATCACATGCTGCTTTTTTTACTAAAGCTGAAATCTAGTAGGTCGATTGTCAATATAGATGAACTGTTTTATTGCAAAGTAAAACATCAAAATGAGCAACCTTTTTGAGAATAATTTTCCATGTTTAAGAATAGTTAACTTCGAATTAATATTTTAAGAGACGTAATGTGTGACTTTGCATTTCTTCAGTGGTCACCATCAGCTTTCGAACTACGTTAAATATTAAGTGGTTATGATCCCCGTATTCATTTCGTCTTAAACTCTGTGTTTGGACAGTCATTCCTTCAGTCACAACGTAGAACCTGGTATGTGTTTACACTAGTTCAAGTTCCCGTACCCTGTTAACACAGAGACAAGATTGTTAGGGCAAACTCCGAAATAATAAGGGTAGTAACTGTCAGTGGTAATAGGAAGGTGTTAGCGGGACATAGATTGGATTAAAGCATGTTTCATGCATGATAGTGTTGCTGAGCGCTGATTGGCTAATTCTAAACCGATCAGCACGGGCAAATTATTGGTGAAAAATCTAGAAGCTCCTTATGTATATACTATAAATATATGAACGTTATTCAAACTAGTGATTGCTGTTCACATACCATTATTATTTTGAATGCAATTTCATTCCTGTTCAAAGTGTTCTGGTTTTGGGGTCTTGTCATCGTATAAGAATACTAAGCAATAGGAATAGCTGGGTCGTTTATATAACAAAACACAATTATAACAGAAAGATTAGGCATCGAAGTTAAAATTCAGTAGAAAAATATAAATTCATGAATTAAAACCTAAAAAAAAGTTATGATGAATTTAGAATCTCAGAATCTGGGGGAAGCCAAAGAATGGATTCATTTGCGCCGTTGCAAACGATTGTGAACCATGTCATTCAAAGTCCCTAAACCTCTGTTTGCTATTTATTTCTGCTATTTTAGGGCTTCATAATATCGTTCAAAATGTTCTAAGGATGATAAATAATAACTCAGTTGTCAAGTATGATTCCTGTATACTTTAACAGAAGTAAAACGGAGTTCAAGTTGACAACCCAGTACTTGTAAATTTAGTGTCATAATCAAT